TTGTGTGCTCTTTTGAGGGTTTCAATCTCCTTGCTAAAGAACTCATTCTGCTCATCTAGTTGTTTTTTTAATTTCTGAAATTCTTGCTTTGACTCGTTACGGAACTCACTGAGTTTTTTCAGAAGTACCATCCTGAATTCTGTGTCATTTCAGTTGCATATTTCTATGTCTGTAAGGTCATTTTCTGGAGATTTTTCTTTTTCTTTCTGAGATGCCTTGTCACCTTAGCTGTTCATGATATTTAATGGACTATTTCTCTGCCCGGGCATTCATGGAAATGTATTCTGCTTTTTTTTCCAGAAAGATTTATTATATAAAGGTCTCTCTGATTCTGGGTATTTTAATAATGCAGTTTCTGTACCCAATATGATGCTTTTTAGTAAGAAAAAAAATCTGGGCAAACTGTCTTTCCTCTTAGTCTGTGAGCTATTTTTCTTACAATTATTTTTTCTTAAAGCAATATAACAAATAATAAAAAGAACACTAGAATCGACAATTCCGAATGAATGTTTTAAGGAGACAAGGAATATCATTTGAATGGGGTCATTGCATTAAAGACCACGTAGACTACTTGGAATAGTAATTTGATTCTCTCAGGCCTAACCAAAAGATGCCTATTTCCTTATGAATAGTTCAATCAAGGCAACTAAATTAATAATAGACTTGTGGGAAAACCCACTGAATTTGAAGGTTTAGAATTCAAAGAAACTAAGACATAAGAGATCATTTTTTAAGAATCCGGAGTTACTTAAAGTTATAAAAGTCATTACCTATCAACATTTATACAAAAAATTATACCACTATGATCTCTTCTACATAAGACTTATGACTGAGAGGAATAAACACTGCAGCTGGTCTCTAAGCTAAAATTTCCTGAGTCATGAATCCTTTTGTGTCTTGGGAGGTAGGACAAATACTGAGGAAGGAGGCAGGGAGAGACTTACAGTTAAGTCATCAGTTATATCTGGAACATTGAGGCAGTTTTATTGTACCTTACCAGGCACTGTGGGAAGTATTGCCTCCTCTGGGAGACAGGTACCGAGGCTGTGCTGGAGGAAATGGTTACAGGAGGATAATGGAAGGCATCATAGCTCTCAGAAATGAAGGGATGGAATACATTTTGGCAAGGAAAAAATGGCTTTTTTTAACAAGTTCCTGTATAACTGGGTTTGAACATTAATTCTCTTTCCATATCCACTTTAGCTTCTGCTTAAATTTAAAGAAAAAACCTCATTTGTAAAATAATTTTAATATTAGTCATTTATCTGTTCCTTCTTTCTTTTAGTGCCTACTTAAGTGCCTGGCACAGTTTTCAGCACTGGAGACATCAATGGGAACAAAACCGAGGAGGACAGCATCATCAAAGGATCACAAGATGGGTATAGAATTGTAAATGAAGGTAAGTGCTCTCAGAGAAGTCACCAATGCACGTACAATGGGAACTTAACCTATGCTGGGAATCCCCAGCAGAGTTATTGACTAGACCAAGGGTTGAGTTGGGGGTGGAGAAATCCATACAGAAAAAAATAGCTCCTGCAAAGTCCTTGTGGCTTATTTTAGACACTGAAAGAAGATTTGTGCGACAGAAACAAAGGGAATGAGGGGGAAAATGACCCCAGATGAGGTTGAAGTCACGGTAAGGATTTTTATTTCTTTGGGAAGTAATCGATGGATTTTAAATAGGAATTTGCCATAATCAGATTTTCATATTGAAACGTTCACTTCAATGGCAGTTTCGAGAATATATTAGAGGGAAGTAAGAACGGATGGTGAGAAACCACTTAGGTTTTATTTAGTAGAGAGATGACGACAGATTGTATGAGGGTGATGTGCTGGATTTTCTCTATTTGCCTCTCCAAGTTTGCTCTCCACCTTCTCCATCCTATTTTATGCCCTGGGAAGCTGAACGGTATGAACCACATAAACAGGATTGCCATTTGGCCAATAGAAGCCCCTGTAGGAGACTGGAAATTTGGAGGAGAATAAAGTCAGGATATTTATTTTCCCAATTCCCTTCCTCTTGGGTTGCCTCTGGTTGGCTGTGTCCCTCATCAGAAGTTCAGAATTCTCTCAAATCTACCTTCTGTATCAGTCTCTCTCTTTGCAGGTAACTGCTCCATCCCCTGGTCCCTTCAGGCCTAGGGGTGATGATAGCTTTACTTTTCCTGTCAAGGGTTTCTCTATTTTCTATTCCATGTGGTTTCTCTGTACTCAACCTTTTGTAAAAAATTCCTCTTCCAATTATCCTAATTTGAGTGTGTCATATATTTCCTGCTGGTACCTTCAGCAACATAGGTTGTGGAAGTCTATGTAAGGAAATCAACAGATGGAATATTTA